CACACACACACACACACACTTGATGACAGGTATTTCCACTTGAAGTGAATCACAATGCAGAGCTATGAGCCCAGTGTCAGTCAGTTCCTGTCTGGAGGGGCCAGAGGTTAGACACTCTTCATTCTCTTTAAACCCAACCATAGAAATAAAGAGACAATGAAGCAGAGCAGAGAAACTGCTGCTGTAAGTTAACCATCTTCCCCATGTTAGCCCTGAATGCTTCAACCTCTGTTCCCTCTGAGCTGCTTCAGAAATAGATACTGTAGATTATTTTGTGGGGACAATTAGAAAATACTTTCAATTTAGGAAGACAAATGCAAACACAAACATGAAGGCAAAGCCAACTTCAGGACCAACAATAGGACCATTGTCTAGTCAATCATTTTGATAAGTGAATAATGACTGATTTAAGTTCCCCCTCCAGTCGTTGGTTTAACCCCTAAAAAACTCTTCTCTGTGTATCAAAGTTATATATTTAGATTTTTTGCCCCCATGAAAATAATACCTCTTTGCCTTAATTAATAATTTGATACAGAGTAAACCAGGCAGATATAAACAGAAACACATAGAATTATTGGTGATTGATTGATCTTTTTTGAAAGACAATAATCTTAGATCTTAGAAGAGTTTATCCAGTGTTACTTTCCACATCCATGTCTAGGAAAGGGTCTGACAGCATCCATGTGAGGTAAACTTCAGCTACACGGGCAATAGAGTGCATTGTCCACAGGAGTGTGTGTGGAATAACCAGACACCTACTGCATCTGCTGTGCATGAGTGGAGTCCTTCCAGCAGATTAGGTTACATAATAACAACAACTACCTTTATGTGATGTCCACAGCTCTCTGTGTGAGCATCAACATGGGAGTATAATCAAGGCCTTACTTTCATACAGCTGCCATCCAGAGGAGTATGCATTCATGCTTTCATCCATCTGCAATAGCTACGGTGTTGTTTTAACATTAGGCATATAGTAGCACTGGTTTGCTATATAGATTGCCTTGCTTTATAAAGTTAAAAAGCAGCAAAGTTCTTGACTTCTTGTTTGCTTACAAGAAACATCTACAGGACATCTCTAGGGTTTCTTTGTTAGACTTCTCTGGGATGATATAACTTTAATTGTTAATGTTGAGTCAAGAATCCTGCTTCACGTCTGTGTGCTGTAAAGGCTGCAGCCTGCAGTAAGTGGCTAGGTTAGAAATACCTTGACAACGAAATGTAATATTTTTTCCCTGCAAGGCTGCAACCATTTCTACTACTTATCCTTATTAACCAGTTCAGGCTCAACAATTTTGTTGTGATTTTTGAATGTCTACTTAGTTCTATGATTTATAGTTTTGCGTATTGTTTTTATTTATTTTTATTTGATCTTTATTTTACCAGGTAAAAATGTTTGAGAACCAGTTCTCCGTTGCAAACATGACCTGGCCATGTTGAAAGGCATATACACATAAGTGGAGAAAGAAAATATCATAATGCAGTCCTCTACAACACCATAGAACTGAATCAAGACCTCATTTTTTTTTAAAAAAGGCATCTAGACATGTTACTTTACAAATCTGGAAGGAAAATTGTCATAGCACATGAGTAGTTTGTGTCAGTAGTAGGTTTCAGAACGTACAGGAGTTTATTTTCTTCATGGGATATGTATCTAATTTTTCTTGACTGAAACTTATTGTTCTGTTTTGGTCTTCAAAACTGTTTGAAGCTGTCTGAACAGATTTCACTGGCGAATGAAGCCTGTAAATGGACAGTTACTTTCACTAACTCAAAGGTTCATGTATTTTCCGCTTCAGATAGTCACATATTTTCATGCAGTGCATTCCATACTCATCATGTGTCAGCACAAGGGATACAGCCCATTTGCTGACATATCACAAAGACGCTACTAACTGTTTACTGACAGGTCTCTGTTGGCTGACTTGATCAAATGGGATATAGTTTTCAGTGTGGAGTCAGGGTTAGGACCTTGAATGAATAAGCCGACATGCACAAAGAATACAGGCCCAGGTGTGAGACCAGTGCTGCCATTTCCTCAGCAGTCATTCAGCAGGGCCTCCTTACTAATCCTCTGCCATCACTCAACTGGATCTCAACTCTAATCTCACCAGGCCAAAGCTCAGAAGTGGGGTGCTTCTCGCTTTAAACCAAGACCCTGATGGCTAATCTTAGCCACAACACCCTGGGGTAACACTATATCATCCACAGGGAATAGCCCCAACACCCTTGGAAACAGCAACGAAAGACCTCCCAAATACCAGAGACATTTCACACCTAAACAGAGATGAAGAGGTAACATGGTGGCTTACTTTCTGATTTGGATCAAATCTGTAAAGGCACACTTATACATGCACAAGTCTTATAAAGTGACACATATCTTTCTCCTGGGCTATCAATGTACCTTCTCATTCAGCAGAGTTTGCATCACTAGCAGTGTGACTCAATCCAACACACCCTCGCTATGAACATTTTCAAGGTTGCTTGCTTGAATATGTTCACCCATTCAACATCAACTGGCAGGATACAGCTTACATTACTCTTAAAGAGGTGGACTGGCTCGTTTCCAGCAGTTTAAAAGCATACAATAAGCAGCCTGAGGCTGTCAACTGCACCCGTTATGGCTGATAAGTGTATGGTCCCAGACACAATGACCGGGAATCAGATACATGCAGAGAAAACATGCAACATTCATGGTAAGGTCAAGTATATAGAACAGGAAATGCTGATGATGTTTGTCGTGAATTATGTGCAACTATATGAATTACATTACTGGAATGGACCAACTTCATTCTGCAGTAGTAACTACAATTTAATGATATAGTCTGAATTTCCTCTGATAAACTGCACAGCAAGAAAGTAAGTAAGTATAATCAGAGATAAACTAATTTTTTTGTCCAAAAAAACCCGATCATTTTCTACTAACTTGAAGTGAATTGACTAACACATGCCAAACTACCAGCACGAACCTAAGAGTTATCAATAATGGAGTGACAAGTAACAAAAGCTTGGACTGCAGCTAAGATGGAAAAATATATAAATGTCAGTTATGAGCTCACCCAAGGCAATATCTCCAACAACAGAACACACAAATACAGATGGGACATGACTAGGCCAGCTGCTGTCTATCCAGTACAGTCAGTGACAGTAGGTGTTCAGACCAACAAGGGAGGAGCACACACTGAGAAATGGTTGTATTTATTACAACTCATTTCCAAGGAAAAAATGTCTTCAAATGCTATTTTGGCCTTTAATTGATAGTGTGACTGTGTAGAGCAGTAAAAATGTAGCATGCTTCTCAAACTGCCTAACCCTAACCCTGAAAACAGCATAGCATTACATAAACATAGCCAAATGTGTATGCTACGTTACATTATGTTGTACTACAAGGGCAGGTTTGACAAAACAATGACTACTCTTAGCTAACCCAAAGCTAGTGATTGGATAATGCGTGAATAGATGCATTGTGTTCATTTAAACATAGTTACATGCCCCCATTAACAACATTTTAATGCAGAAAATTACAGAAAATACATCATTTTCTTCCTTATCATATGACTCTTTGTGTCTATGCTGTCTGTTTAAAAACAATCTTTAATTAAGGTGATATAAATGCTTAAAATGGACATTAACGAGCAGAAAAATCTCATTCATGTCATTAATTCGATACAGGTTAAAAACCCATGTATGGACAGAAACAGAGAGAAACCTGACTTACCACTTCAGTAGGTCGGAAGTATTTTGGGTCCACCTTCACATGTATCACACCTGTCTCCTGGCAACGACCAACCTCCTTCTCATCCTTTCCTTCCCACCTGGAAAGAAACTCATTTTAGCAGGAAGCACATTTTTTCTCACACCTGTTCAACGGTTCAACGTCACTGATTATTTCTTGTGTAGCTTGTTTCCTTAACGTCTCATGCAGACAAAACATGTCACCTGTCTTTTTTCCTGAAACAACACAACAGACATTGTGAACAGTCAAACACCCCTTCACCAGATGTCAGTGTCTTCCAGGACACAAGAGGGAGGTGACTGAGAGGTGAAACATGGGGGGAGTCTTTCATTTTCCAGGTAAATGATAGGTGGTGTCTCATACGGGGCACATTTTTAGGCCTCTCAGGAAAATCTTGGATTTTAGACTATGTGAATAAAATGAACTTGACTTGGGTGTTTCACTCACACGATGGTCTTTCCCACATGTTTGAAGGCCTTCTCCACAAACTCCCTCACACTGTGCACCTCCCCTGTCGATATGACGAAATCCTCTGGCTCCTCCTGTTGCAGCATCAGCCACATAGCCTGAAAGAGACAACGAGGGTCAACCACTGAGAGATCATAAAGACAGTTCAGCGCTCTATGCTGGATCCTGCCCAGCTCAATCCTGACAGACAGGAAGTGAACCTGCGACCTCTTAGCCGGGCATTCGCCCGTACCTCTGTCCTGACGTCACCGCAGGGGCTCATGGGACGCATACCGTGGGAAAGGAGGACAGAGTACTCCCACAGGTCCACTGTGCTGCTGGCACAGACAAAAATGTGCATGAATGCACAAGCATGCACACAAACAGATCTGCACAACTGATTTTGTCCAATAGCTGAAAATGACACAATAAGACACACAAAAACTGAAAATAAAGGTAAGAAGATGATAAATTCCAGAAACAAAATCTCCCAACAGCCTGAACCCTGACTTGTATTGACAATTTTTCCATGGCAGAGGCAGCGTCATTATTAGTCTTCAAACCCCAGTGAAAGCTAAGAGTGTGTGACCCTTAATGGAGCCAGCACGATATTATAAAGCCAGCGAGGGCGTCTGTATGTAGTTCCATAATATTTCTGGGGAAATGGAGCCAGCAGGTCAGAGCTGCTGACCTCTGGCACATCCAGCATGATTAGAAGAAAGTCGCCAGGGACGGATGGACAGACAGATGGACGGATGGACAGACAGATTCAGATTCTTGGTTTTATAAAAACAAAATTACAAAAAGTGTTGAAATAAAAATCAGAATAATCAGCTGTTAGATTTAGTTGAGGTGTGTTGCTATAAAATGTTATAAATGTCAACACTTTCTATGGTTCTTCAGTATTTCCCCTTTAAGGAAAAAACTTAAGGTGTACATGTTTGAAATAGTTTTTGATTGCTAAATGGTCTTATTTTAGTTTTTATGTGTTTATCTCTTTTTTTTTGCACATATGTTTGTTGTTGCCTATCTTATAGCATGCACAGCACTCTGGTCCACCCCTCTGGATCTGATTTTATTTGAATATGTAAACCAAGAGCACATGATCCATAATCATGAAACATAGCTGCAGATGGACAACTCAGATTTCTTATCCTTCCTACTTTGTACTATTGTAAAAACTGCAGCTGAGCTCAGATTATTGTGTAACACTTTGTGTCAATATGTCTGTCTTAACACCTTCGTTATACAGCCTCTGGTGGTTATATGAATTGAAACTGGCAACACAAAAATGTCGATTTGAAAATACAAATATTTTTGTGTACTTTTAAGATCAGCAGTTCTATTTAAGATATTGTAAAAAGGAAAAGTGAAGGCAGAAATTGCTTAAATGAACTGATTTAATAATTAATAAAGTGATAAATGCAACAGGTGGTGTCATGCCAACGTCTCTGGGCCATGGACTGCTTCATGACAACACCCATCTATCACTCAAAATTGCTGTAATAGAATTTAAACGGATGAATTATCCATCCGTCCATCCATCCATTATCTACACAGCGCTTAATCCTCACCAAGCTACAAAACAATTAATTGAAAAAAAACAAAACAAAAAACAACCTTTACAGTTGTCACAAATGTTGAAATTCAGCTACAGACCCAAACCTACTTTTTCTACCAGACTGTCTTTTCATTTTCCACCCCAGAGGCTGGTGCTTCAGCTACACACACAGTTTAAATACTGAATATTCTCTATCCCATCAAAAGGTTGTAAACAAGACAGGACAGCAGGAAGGTGGAGAGTTGGCCTCCTCTGTCTCTTCTAAGGTGACTTAATCACTTTGCCTTTGTTTCTGTCTCTGAGGAGCAAATCAGGACGGTTTATTTGCTCTACTTGGATTAGTAGCATTGAATGGAGTGTGAGTATTCCATACAGCCACATCAGGATGATTTATGGGGTAAGGTTGGACAAAGCAGAAACTGTCTGTCTCCCTCTGCACATTTAACAGATGCTGTGTTCCCTCTGCAGTAGTAACTCATAGGTGTGTCTTTCACAGATGCACAGGACTAAAGACAAAGAGCTGAAAGCCGAAAATGACAGCGCAGTTTACATGACTGACTCAGAAAAGCTAATTTTCAATCACTCATTCTAAGATTTAAATGTTCTTGTTACATTTTGGGGCAAAGTGACTATTGGATTTTCCTCACACATTGGCAGAAAGTTTATTTTAGTATGAATAAAATATGAGGAAAAATGCCATGAGACTTATGATTGTAACACAAAATGTCATGTATATCTGGTTATTAGTAACGAAAGATTTAGAAATTATATATTTAACTATGCTAATGTTCAGAGGGCCACTCGTGATAATAGATAAAAAACCAAGAGGTTCAAAAACTATTAAGAATAGGGCCCATGAACATTCCCTTTATATTTCAATGCAATCTGCCACCTTCATATGTGGAACAGAGAAGTAGAGCAGTGATAAACTTGTGAACTGTAATGATACTGTACTCAATAGATATTCTTATTTATTGTAAATAAAAACAAGATTTTAATCTAACAGAGGATAGCCAATGGCATCACCAAAATCCTCATGGCTAACAACTTGGGTATCATGGAAATTTGTTTGAAATTTTATGATAATATGGCTTGTACTCAGGGACACCGATGAATCCAGTAGTCAATGTTTTCTCCTGCTGCTGCTGCTGCTGGAAAAAAAAATCTGCCTTTATTAGCTCTAAAGTGTGTGCTGTGACACTGCTGTTTCCTAACATACTGTATGGACCAGTTTTGTCAGTGGTTAAGCACATGGCTGCTCTCACACACACAAACACACAGCAGCAGTGATGGAATGAACTTCCTCAGGGAGGCGCGTCCATCCTATCTCAGGATCGTTCAGGGTCACCTGACCGCTCAATGTTGATGACTCCCCTGAGCCTGACCTCTCACCTCTCACCCTCTGGCCCCTGATGAACAAACCAGATTCTCACACTACTACACGAGCCAATAATGGCACCTTGGTGTATGACTGACAGCGGAACAAACCTATCGGAGCACGTCAGTGTTTCCACAACCGGAGTACCATCAGATACCGCTTCCAACAGCATCCACATTTTGTACTTATTAAGTTGACAGGACAATTAAATTATGCTACATATGTGTCGGTCAATTTATTGCTTCACAGAAAAGATAACATGGCAGATGTTTTTTGTATTTGTGGCTATTGCAAAGAAACAGTTCAGCAAATGTGGTAAATTATATTGTACTTAACAACCGAACTTTAACTTCATAGCTCTCACTGGAGTTTGCAGATTGTGAACAAACAAACAATTAATAAATGCTTGTCTAATTTCAAGTGATTAAGTTACAGAACATTTATTTGGCTAATGTCAACAAAAAATAGGGCACATCCTTCCTAAACAAAAGATAAAAGGTACTGTAAAAGCTAAAATGTAATGTAAATGTAGCACGCACAATACACTATACTTTTAAAAAATACAACTACATAGATGTTAGATCTGGCCTGAGAATTTCATCAGAAGTCCATTCCCGTTCTGCCATTTCAAAATATTTTAGTCTCTCCGTCTTCAACGTGAGCAGAATTAATTATCACTGGAAACAGTAAAATATCAAACACTGACATCTACACTGTAATACTGTTTTGATCGTCTGACTGGCTGATTATTTGAACTTGTAATGAAGCAGGCTCATTCCCTTTTCCTGCAAACCACACTGATGAATGTGTAGCCTGTAGTAAACTGGATGGCTGTGATGATGGGAGTTGGAAAGGCAGCTCTGCTTCTATTGCAGCCAGAGAAAATGTTTACAGCAGGAGCTGAGTGATATGGCCTCTGCTGATTTTTAACCAGGAAATGTAATAAATAATATGATGTGTATTTTTCTACTTATTATAAAGGGAATAAAGCGAAGTGAAATCATGGGAGACTGGGGTTTATTCTTCTCAGCCAGTTCAGCGATAACAGCTAAGGGGAGAGCACTGGTTTCACTGGAGGTATTCCCACATTTCCATCTTTTTCTTAAGCTACGCTACCATCATCACACCAGCCGTGTCTCTCTGCCTTCTTTTACCTTTTACCCTCTTCTCTTTTCCCCCTCCTCCCTCTCGGGGTCTCTCAGGATTGCTCTGCTTCATTAGCTATCTGATAAACAGCTCAGAGGTTTAGCCCTTCACACTGAACCCGCACCTTCCTGTTCACATGGCCACAGGATGACCCCCATCACACACTCCACACTTCACTGCAGCTCAGAGACAGATACCGACCCCAGCGACCACCGCCGAGCCCTTTACCTGAATTATATTCTGACATCCACAGGGAGAAACTCAGAGACCAGAGTTCAAATGCTGTTTTTTGTTCACAGACCAGAGAAACACATGGATGTGTAGTGTCTGTGACATGACACAATTCTGACGGAAATGTTTTGAAATTTGAATGCTGGGTTAGTTCTTGTTGCTGTGTTTGTCAGTTACGAATACGTGAGTATTCTTCCTCTGTATTGGTGTTCTATTTACGGTGTTGTATCAACTTGTATTTATTGTTATCCATTTACTGCTTTGTACTGGGTTGCATTATAAATCAAATGTTTGCTATTTATTATGTATTTTTAATGTTTTGTAAATTGTCATTTTTATTTTGACCCTGGGACCCCAGGAAGACTAGCAACCACTTTGTGGGAGCTAATGGGGATTCTAATAAAGAATAAAGAATAAAGATATAACATGTTAAAGTGAAATATTTATTTCCAACATGGTCCCAATATGTTACCACATAAAAAGAGTAATATAAAATGTGAAAACATTTACCTTAATATCTGTATGAAGCCTAATGTTTCAGGTCATTATAAATGTAATAATAAAATGTGACGTAAAATGTTACATACAAAATAAAGACTAACAAGCCAAAGTATTTAGCTTATATATATAACAAGAGAGCAGCAACAAAAAAGTTGATTGCACTAATTACAATTAAGTAACTATAAACAGCATAAAAATATTATATTGAATTTTTTTGGTAGATCTTGAGCTATACTGTGAGTTAAGATTTTGGTGGGAATGCAAATTTTTGCATTTTTCCCCCACTTAAACAAATATAAAAA